TCAGAATAATATATATGATATGTTTTGATTATAATGATTGATGCTTTAAAGTGTTATCAAAGCAAAGGTGAAGCTAACCTAAGTATGCTGTATGCTAGCTTGTGAAATTACTCCAGGTGTAACTAAAGTCTTATTTAAGTGTTGTTTATATTTGACATCTTTAAACAAATCTGAAAAAGTAACTAAAGGTATTAAATAATACATTTAGTGGAGTAAAAGTACAAGATATCTCTGAATTGTAGTGGGGTATAAGTACACAATAGCACACAATTGAAATACTCAAGTAAAGTACAAGTCTCTCAAACTTGTATTTAAGTACAGTACTCGGGTAGATGTACTCACACACATGTAACATTTGATGCTGACGGTACATGGCCCCTGTGTGTGTGAGGCCTGCAGCTCGCTGTGTGATTGTCAGGCTGTGCAGGTCGGAGTGTGTGTAAACACTGTGAGTTCTAGCTGAAGGGTGGGGAGTGTCAGAGTGTCTGTGTGGGAGTGTGTGAGGGAGAGTGTTCAGGGGCCTCTTCCCTCCTTAAAAGTTGCGTGACAGGACTGGAAGGACGGGTTGGGAGAGGCTATATCCTGGGATTTTCCTGTAGTGGCCGTCCAGATAAGGGAAGCGCTCTTGTCGGCTATTGCTTACAGAAAACCCCCAGGGTCAGATGCGAGAGCGTGTGTGTGTGTGTGTGTGTGTGTGTGATGTGTGTGCAGATATGCAGGCTGCCAGATCAGTTCTGCAGCAATGAGAAAACCTGTCTTCTGGCGGGGAACCAACACTTAAAGCTCGGCCAAAGCAGGATAGCTTGCTTTGCTTTTTCAGCTTTGGTATAATTGTGTTCATCGATTCAATGATGTATTGACCCACACAACTTGTTGACCACTGAGATATCCACAAAGAATCTTACAAACTCTCAATCTTTTGTGCACAGAAGTTTATTTTGGGAATGAACTGTCTAAAAAGCATTTAATGAATTACTAATTGAGCATTTCCTTTTTTTAAAGTAAAGTACTTCTTTCTGTACTTTAGTAAAAGTAAAAATACTATGGACTTAAAATACTCCATTATGCGTAAACATCCTGACTTCACAAGAGTAAAAGTGTAAAAGTATTAGCATGCAAATATACTTCTAGTATCAAAAATAAATGTATTTTATTACCAAAGAATATGATCTTTTTCTGTTTTTATTACATTTAAAAGCATTTGCAAAGACTATTGTACTATAATATACGATAAGTAGTGAAGAACTGCATCATATCATATAAGCATATTGTGTGATTTTTTATATATAAAACGTAGCTAGTAAGTTAAATAAATGTAGTGGAGTAAAAAGTCCAATATTGCATTACATATTGGAATAAGAGTATAAAAGGAAATACTCAATTAAAGTAACATTTTGTCAAAAATATACTTAAGTAAATGTACTTAGTTACTTTACACCACGGCGTGGAAGTAGTGCAAAAGGAACTGTATTCTATATCCATTTATTATGGATTTATTACAGAAACATCATAACAACATGTAACAAAGCACATGAACTTTAGTGCCTCCACAGTGAAATAGTTCATGTTGTTTTCGTCTTGCTGTGTGTTAGCCAGAGCTACCTTGTACTTCTATTTGCACAATTGTTCACCTCATCCAGCACCTTTTAAACCTTGCACGTTTGAATCTAAACATGATGTGACACGATGTGGCTGCACAGAGAACAATGCTGAGCAGTGAGGAGCTTTCAGCGAGGGGCTCAGTCAGTGACTTTACCAAGATGCCAAGGCAAAGCCAACACAAACAGAGCAGCTGAGTCATTGCTGTACTTTGTGCAGCAGCCTGTCAATGGATTTGGACATGCCAAGCACAACCTGAGTAGTGTTAACAGTGAGGCAACCTCTGCCTACACTGGGAGTTTAGGTGCTTGCAACAAAGGTACCCAAAGGTTTCCTCATTCAAAAAAAAGGGGAACATTGCCAAGTTTTCTTTCGTAATCTCATACCGGGAAATGGTTGTGTAAACTGACTTTGTTAATCTGCTGATGTTTTTAAACGCCCGGCGGCTCAAATGAACGCAAGTGGTGCCTGTTACGTTAAATATTCTAAATCGCAGGGCCTCAACAGTGGTCCAGGTGAAAGTGGGGATCACTGGGCTGGCTTGTAACACATGTGATTGGTGGACAAACCGTTTGAGTGGCAGCATTGTACTCACAGAGGAGTGTGTATCTATAGCCTTAGAGAACAAACCTGTTTTGCCAATCTCAGCCTCAGACATGCCGAGGCATACGAAGCGAGTCATGTTCTCAGTCATCAGATAGACTTTTTATATCCAAAGGTGTAATCAAGCAAGCTGCACACTGTGAATCTGGAACAGAGACTACAAACATGTCCGCAGGCAATATGCTAAATGTGTCACTGCTGCCATGTGATTCTCTGCAATGAAAACTATATGAAAGGGCCCTTATGTGTTCCTCTGCTCTGCGCTGCATATACACTTAAACTCACTACCAACTATTACAACAAACAAACATGCCTGTGTTTGTGATTTCATGTTTCAAATTAAATCTCCTAACCCTGCTGCAGCATTTAATGCCTTAATGTGTTAGTTATATTTTGTGGAATTGCATTAAAGCCACTTTTAAGACATCATTATTTCCCTACGTGAATATGATTATGATTATATCTACTTTATCAAAGGCAGTGATGAATGATGGGAAGCAGCTCTAAGAAAAGACAGATTTAAAGTAGAGAAGGAAAAATGTTGCTTTATTAAAATCTCTTTGAAGCAGCTTTTTTTTAATAGTGTTGAAGAAATTAACTGCAGTGGCCTGCTCAGCGTCAGATTTGACATTTTGTCAAGAGAATTTGAATAACACAATAAAGTTAATACAAACTGCAGATTTAAGAACTGGTCTTTCTCAAACTTTCCTGAAAAGAAACAGACTTTGGAAAAATAATATTCTAATGCTTTTTAGTTAAATTGCACTTGAGTCACCCGTGTTATTGGTGTTTTAAGGAGGAGGATCATTTAGGGAAGAAATGTTATTAAGTAAGGGTCGGGGGTGGGAAAGACGTCCAGTAAGGCAGCGATACAAAAAGACAGACGGACCCATTCAACCCAATTATTAAAACCAAGTGAAAGACAATCCTACAATTGACTTTGCACAGCTTATCCCTGGCCCAACCCTAACCTACTTTACTTAAATGTGAATTATCCTCAATTCCAGTGATGTTGGTTTGTTCTCTGATCTCAGCAATGACTGTGTGTCTACGAAAAATAAAGACAAATGTAGAATGTAGAAAGAAAAATATTAAAAGAAAAAATGTCCAATCCTTTCCCCTATTTGAATCCTGATCACATGACCATAACCCTATAACAAGTAACCTTGCTGAAAATGCAATATGTGAATTTCCCTTTGTTGACCTCTTCTATGTTTGTCTCCTCTGTGCAGCGACCATAAAGAGCAGCAACAACAACAACAGCAACAACAGTCTGACGTTTCCTGGAGTCAACGGGCAGAATGGGAACAACATGGACCTCTGCAGCTTCTCCGAGGGGGAACTGCTGCTCCAGGTAGGAACCGACTTCACATCCTCGTTCAGATTACAAGCTAATATTAAACATACGCTTATTATTTATTGTAAAACGTGTTGGTTTGGTTATTGGGTTTGGGCAATACTGTATATCAAAAATCACAATATATTTGATCAAACACTTTGATATCCATATTGCAACATATATAATATATTCTGTGCTTTCACAAAATATTAAGTCATGGCTGTGCCTATTGCTGTGGTCCTGGATCATAAGTCCTGGATGGATATCCTCATGGATCCATCTTCCTATTATACACACATGCATTTCGAAACATTTGGACTACCTATGTTGTAAATGTATTATCTTTTCAATTTACACACGGCATCTATTGCACGTCTGTCCGTCCTGGGAGAGGGATCCCTCCTCTGTTGCTCTCCCTGAGGTTTCTCCCATGTTCCCCTTTAAACTGTGGGTTTTCTCTGGAAGTCTTTCCTACGATGTGAGGGTCTAAGGACAGAGGGTGTCATATTTGTCATACTGACATTCTGTGAAGACCACTGAGACAAATGTAACATTTCTGATATTGGGCTATATAAATAAACATTGATTGATTGATTGATTGATTGATTGATTGATTGATTGATTAACATATATGAGTTTGCTGCTAAATAATCATTATTAATGTGAATATAATGACTGGGTGGTTAAAGGTGGTTAGGTCATTTTGGAGAAACCAGCTCCAGTGCGCTAGAATTTGAAAATACACAGCCGAAAAAAATCTGCCACTTCCTTACAGAGCCCCTCCTTCAACACACACGAACGCGCACATGACCAATGAGGGCACGAGATAAGTTTGTGCACAGATGGAAGGCTGACAGGCAGGTAGGCCATCCAGTTGTTTTAGCCGGGCCGGCTCAGATGATTGGTCGTGCTTTTTACAGTACTACGGCTTCCACAGAT